CTCATGTATAATATGATCTAATGTATAATATGATCTAATGTATAATATGATCTCATGTATAATATGACCTCATGTGTAATATGATCTCATGTGTAATACATAGCAGCATCATATGAATTCTGGCATTTTACACATAGTCCACCAGGAGGCGCTAACACAAAAGAGGGTTATCACGTGTGATGATGGTTATCATCAAGTTATCATGTATATGTCAGAGACTTCACATGAGATTTGGACCATCTTGTGGGGGAAAAGCAGATTACTTCCTACTCGTGAGCGCCCCCTCTGGTGGAGAAACTTTTTTCTGGGATATAAACTTTTTCAGAACACCGGTAGACGGTAGCCATTACAGACGAACATGTGTTTGTTGTTGTTCTAGGAGCGGCTCGGTCACACACTAATGTCATTAGTTTGTTATCATTACTGAGCTGCAGGACTGATTTTTTCACATCATGTCTCCTGCCTGGATCTGTTATTATCTCACTCTGAAGCACGGAGGAGTGTCAGAGGTGAGCTCGTTTCAACTGATTTTTACGACATGGTCTCATTTCAGGACTCAATAATTTTGTGATTAAAGCCAATATTTCAGTTAAAATACATAAGTAAAAATATTTATCTGAGTATAGTACTACCCCAACTTTATGGGTGATTTTATGGATTTAATTTTACGTATTATACTTGAATAAATACGGTAATACATCCACATGTATGCAGTTAGATAAAGAACGTGCAAAGTGGGGTCAAAAATACCTTTACCAAGAACTTATTCAGCCTTATTGGAAGATATAACAAATGGTGCAATGTGTAGGCATGCAATTTCTTCTTCTTCTTCTTAGGTTTGTAAAAAAAACTTTAGGTGTGCACTACCGCCACCAACTGGAATGGAGTGTGGACTGAAACAACTCTCTTACTAACAAACAAAAAAACTAATTTCCTATCAAATAATCGAGTCAATCTCAATAATTAATCAAAGCTTGTGAACTGTCAGATACTGAATTTTGTTGTAAAATTTCAAATGGATTTAATCTCAGGGAAGTCTGGGTCTCTCTTCTTGGGCTGCTGCCCCCACGACCCGACCCTGGATAAGAGGAGAAAACAGACAGATTGATTTAATCTCATTTTCATTTCAGCAAGCCTATTAATCAATTGAGCTCTTACATTTCTGTACTTCTGACAGTTTAACAGAACATGTTCTACTGTTTCATCTTCTCCACAAGGCATGCAATTTATACACAGAAAGGATTTTATGATCCACAATGATGACTGGATCATAGTCATTTTCAGAATAATCGTTTTGCAACTGTGCTTGGAGCTGTGATGCTCTGGACACAGTAATGAGGAGATGTGTGCCTGCACTGTGATGACTCCTTATAATTCTAAAATATAAATCACCAACATCACCATGAATCTCTCCACTGAGGCGCAGCGACTCATTTCTTCATATTAATGAAATAAATCAAATGAATAAAAATCTATGTTCTACTAAAAATCTGCATTCCTCTGTTTGCAGTAATTATGATAATAAACTTGTACGCAAACGTGTAAAATATTTCCAGACTCTGACAGCAGCTTTACGCACCTACACACAGACACACAATCACTTGTCCTTTGCACATGATGAACACATTTTAACAGTCCAATCATTATTTAGAAAATTTTAAAACTCACATCACATTTATTTCATTATTTTCCTGCATCTAGAAATCACTTGATCGTGCAGGGATCATGAAAACTTTTCTGTCACACACGCAGGACATAATTTACATTTATTGAACATATGTAGGTGTGTCAGGGGCGGAGTGTCACTTGTGCTCAATTCCATGTTGATTGTGACGTACCAAAGAAATGTGTGTGGATTCCAGCGTACACATGGTTTGATGCATCTGGTTGTATTTGTGTGTACTCTATTTTCTTGATTTGATCGTATACACAAGGCCTCAGGACGTTCTATAGCTATGATACACAGAGCTGTACCGTGTTGGGGCAGTCATGTGTGTGTGTGTGGGGTAGTATCATCATTTGGTAAAAACTAAACGTTTGTTAAATTTGACACCTTCTAAGAGATGGTGGAGAACTGAGCAGGGTTGTCATCCTGTGTGCATGGGGTCTTCATAAAAACAGACTGAAGTCAAGACAAACACTAATGAAGGTATTTGTTGTTGTAAATCTGACACAAACATATGAGTGTATCAGTGAGTGTTTATTTCCTCACCATCTTCCATCGATTGTTTTGTGGTGATCATCAAGAACCATGTAAGAGGAAGGAAATAGTAGTCCTCCTGAAAACAATGAATAAAATAAAAAAATACAAATTAACCACAAACATCTCATTACAGAGGATGGACAGACTTTCAGACATTTTTTAATCAACTGAAGGTAGCTATTGTTTTTAAGACATTCTTACAGGTCATTGACTCAAAGG